ATGCATTTCGAATTACCCTTCTCATACACAACTTTACACCGATGGCTCCAAAGAAGGTGAGAAAGTGGCAGCAGCCTGCTGTACTGCCAATACTTGCACTTCAGTCCGACTACCAGACGGCGCCTCCATCTTTTCTGCTGAAGCATGCGCCATTGGTTTGGCCCTCGACCATATCGATGAACACCGCATTAAAAAGGCAATTATTTGTTCAGACTCTCTATCTGTCCTACAGAGTTTACAGTTACGAGATCCTAAAAACACAATCGTACAAAACCTTGCTCTTCGAATATCTCGTATATTAAAAAAGTCTAAAATAACTTTACTATGGATTCCGAGCCATGTCGGAATAAAAGGCAACGAATTTGCTGACAGGGAAGCAAAAAATGCATTGAATCTCGAACAAACAAATATCAAACTACCATACACAGATTTTAAACCTACTATTCGTACAGCCATTCAAAATGAATGGCAGAAACGCTGGTCTCTGGAGACCAACAACAAACTTTTTAAGATACAACCGAAACTTAAAACATCTATTCCCAGTCGGAAAGATCGTAGAGAGGAAGTTGTCCTCGCTCGGCTCCGCACTGGGCACACATATCCTACTCATTCGTACCTTTTAAAACGAGAAGATATACCTTCATGCCACGCATGTGACACTCCATTTACAGTGGAGCATTTTTTAATAGAATGTTCCGATTTTAAACACATTCGTGATAACTACTTCCGAGTCCCGGATATGAAAACACTTTTCAGTTCCGTGGATTCGAAGGCATTATTTAACTATTTGAAAGACATCGGTCTATTTTATAGACTCTGATGTCTTTTAACCCACCTTATCATTTTTGACGTTATATATATATCGCATATTCCATATCATCTATTCGTTATCTCTTTTATTATTTTAACCCCCTTTTATTATTTTTTATTATCTACACATACAATGCGAATGCTTTTAAAATGAACCATTTTATCTGATTTTTATCTTCGCTATTCACATGTTTGTTAAACAAATAAAATTAAAAAAATAAATCACCATGGCCCTAAATGACCACAGCCGTCGATGGGCCGTTAAACATAAACAAACAAACAAATAAAAGTATTTGGCTTATCATTTCACCATACTAATGGACTTTTTATGTAAATCTAAAAAGAGTATTGATATGACGTAATTGGTGAGGCAAATCACACCTTTGAGGAAACAGTCATTACATTTCCTCTCTGCCATATGACCTGTTTTTGATTTGAGAAATAACCGTTAGAAAGGTTGTCTTATTTTCAACACTTTCGAGATATTATCATTATTGTCATCAAGGTAAATGAGCCCCTGTCTCTCTGATTACCTAATGCAGCCCATTCAACACATGTTTGAATTATCTAAATAAGTATCCTAAGTCACTGTAATCTATGCACTCATGTTACCTCTTTGCACTGTGTCCAGAATCAATATTCTTAAGACGATATTTTTTTGTTTGATATCTACATCTTATTTATAAAAAAACTTTTGCCTATACCGAAATTATAATTGTTTGGAAGTATATTTTATAGAATTACACTCAGTTTAACTGATTTTTATTGTATTAAATACATCTATTTGCATAATTCTTTCCTTATTTTTATGCTTAGATTCCTTGAGGATATCACAGGGATGCATGCTATTTCTTTGTATGGTATGAAGGTTGGTGCTTTTGATTATGTTCATTAGAGTGTCCTAGTCATGTTTTCAAATATAATCAAACACAATCTGCATTTCATACACAGAGAATAAGGGAAATGTTGACATAGAGCCTTTTCGAGAAACTTTTCGGGAGCGATAATTGGCGCCATTTCAAATTGAAAATATTCTATATTTATGCCTAAATCTCAAAATTAGTAGTTCACTACGTGAAATTTTCTTTCTCAACTGGTAAATATTATTCTTCCAAAATTAGCGAAAAAAAACCTGACAGATTGTACAGAATAATGTGCAAGTCATCTGGCCTTCTCGAACACAAATCCATGAAGGGTCGATAGCAATGATGCATGAGAGGGATTTTAAGTATGTCAGTTTGACATGGGACTGGTACTCTGGTTGAATTAATGACATTAACCCAGTTTTAAGAATACAGCGAAAAATGTGTCAAAACATACCTTTAAATGACTTCTTTAGAAAAGACCAAAAGAAGATGACAATACTTGCTAAGAAACTTGCTCAACCAATTCCAAGGTCAAGGGATCACATGTGTTTTAACCTCCAACTCATTTCATCTGAATAGCTTTAAGGCCAATGGTAATGCTATTTTTCCAGTACATCCTTGAATGAAGACTTACTTTCAGGACACAAATGTCAAATGTGTTAAAATATTCAATGACATTTTTGGATTGTATATTAGAGGGATCGTGCTTGCAACAAAATATATTGCTTCTTTATATATCATACTGAACTACAATTGTATATATAAACTTTAATATTATCTGTAAATAAGCACCAGAAATCATGATTTTAACATGCTTATAATTAACCCCTTTCAATTCCTCCAACATTTCGTCGACATACGTCGTATTTATTTGTTCTCTGATATGTTTATTTTGAAGTAATTTTGTACCCGACAACAAAACTATTCAGTAGAAATGCTGATAAATATCTCGTTTGTTATACTATCAGAGGCGAATGCGCAAATTGGATTATAAAGTTCTATTCGAACCATTTTTTGACTGTGTACCAATTGTGGTAGCGTGACGTTATATATAACTGAACATTTTCGTTACAGTTAAACTTTTGCCTTTTTAGCCATCTTTAAAGGGGTTAATTGATCATTTGAGCGAACATTAGAAAACAACAAAATTAACATAACAATCAAATGTGTAGGGAAAAATTAACAATGGGCAAGTATGGATGTTATCAGTGAAGGAAGAAAGTTTAACTGGGCAAAAAATTCCCGGTAAACAGTACTGATTAGTCATTGTCATTTCAATAAAACAAAACATGTGTGCAGTTACTCTGAGGTGCATTTGTTTTAAATGGACTATATATTTTTAAGCTTTCGAAAATCAGTTGATAGTGTATTCCCACACAGAAATTGTCAACTATTTATTTATTCCTTCTACACTAAAACAATGTTAGTTAAAATAAACACCGAATAACAACAATAAAAAATACTTCACAAACTCAATTTTGATTTTTTTATTCAATTGTCAAGCCTTGATATATGCATTCATAAATTGTACAATTAAAGTGTATTTTATATTATGAAACACAATTACACTAAGTCAAAATTAGGTTAATCAGCCACAAGATAGAACAATCATGTTTAACAATACAACACATCATGTTAACTGACGTCTTGTCTAATACATAGAATACAATTGCTTAACTATTTGTAATTTCTATGTGTATTCGTCTTTGTGTCTTGCCATAGGCTTTGGCACTTTAAAAAGGACCAATCCCGAACCTAATCGGCTTCTATATACACTGCAAGCTTCTTCCATACTCCAGGGGTTACGCTCACTTTCTCGCAGATAGCGAAAGTGGGCGTTACCCCTGGAGTATTTAGGATACAGGTCCTGCATTTTTGCTATCTTTGTTTTTTCAATTATCCTTTTTTTCTCTAATGGTCAAACTCAAGTGCCTTACGTAACACCATAACAGTTAATAATGAATGAAAGAAATATTCTTTCATCTTTAAATATGCAGATATATTTGCGGCTTTATTGAAAATGTACAGGCCAGAGTGAGGTCTGTATATTTTGCACAACGTGTCAATATGGTGATCTTCCTCTATATAATTCATATCACATACTTCACAGATGCTTTGGTCTATAGGAACCCTTTGTATTTCGATACTTATTGAGTATCTGTCGGCTTCCATGGTAGGGGGAGATAACAACATCCGACGGTAAATAGAACTCTACGTTTATTCATTTATTCTTATGTTTGGCTTACAACATTAACGTCAGGAAATGTTTTAAATTATATTTAAACGTGTGTTAGGTTATACGTTTATTGCTCTTTATAACATCATTTATATCGCTCCAAACAGATTTATTCCATCTTCTCAGTCAAACATTCTTTTTAGTTTTTCTTTTAGAGCTTTGAAATAATTCTATGTTTTGTTGCTATGCTGATTATTACTACTATTTGAGTCCTTGGTCAATCTGATTTGATTCTCCATGACTCCTAGGATTTTCAAAGTATACAGGACAATTGTTGTACATGTAATGTCTTAATATAAGACTGTTGTTTTAATATTATATCAGACAGTCTTCATCGTCTGGTTGACATTACAAGAATTCCAATACATATCACAGCATATAGCTCCTGCTTTCTTTGAAGCAACTAAAATATCTGCATGCATTTTGCTAAGTCATATAAAAACTTTAGAATTATTAACACCTCATAATCAACAACTAAAAACAGTTCAGTTTCAATTAAAAAACATTACAGCTTAAAAAATAAAATATAAGCATTACCAGTCATTTCACCAGCATAAGAGTACATTAAAAACAAGACAGTTAGTGCTCTGTTAGTTGATTTATAAAATATCGTATAAAATATTTATGAAATACTTTACAAATATATTTACAAAATACCGCATACATGTCATTGTATTACACAAGTTCTAAAAATCCTTTAATCATAAGGCTTCATATATATTTACTTGTTCTTTAAAATTATCGATACATTTCCACACTTAAAAACAGTAATCTGTCAATCTTTTAAATTATTTCTTCAGGTATGCAATACTGTATACCATGAAATGTTCGTTGTGTATAACCATTCGTGGGTTTCGTGGTTGTTATTAAACCACGAAATTAAATACAACGAATTTAAATGATATACGTGTCTACTGTATGCTCATATTCCGTCTTTGCGTATTACAGAGTTATCTTCTCTTGGGAGCAGGTATTGATTGTTACATCACTTGTTTGTGAGAGTAACGTCATCAATTTTTGAGAAAACGACGTAATTTTCTCACACAAACCAATGACGTAACAATCAATCCCTGCTCCAAAGAGAAGATAACTCTGCAATACGCAAAGACGGAATAGGATATCCACGAATGTTTGAACCACGATACGATATAAATGGCCTCTCAACACGAAGTACCCACGACCATTTCGTGTTACACAGTATTTGTATTTCTCGGTATAAAGGTCTACACCTTTCTCCATAAATTAATGAGCATCTTCGACAACACTGCACCAACGGGTGCTTTAAGTCTCAAGTCACCCGCTCATAAAAGGATAGAAACTATATAAGTATACTGTCATCATTTATCTTTAACGACAGGTTGACGCACCAATATATTGTGCAATATATTGAAATAATCTGGGAGATGCTTTATAACGAGTCACCATTTTGCGACACTTCGAAGAGGTCGATTGTCCCACTATTGACACGTAAACACGAAATGTTTGGAGGAGGAAGGGTGAGATAAAACTAAGGAAAATGTGAGTTTTGAGCATAAAGCCGGAAGGGAACAGTTATTTTTCTTTTACAATGATGTAGTAATCCCCTATAGCATTAAACAAAATACTGTTTCATAATCATACAAATTCGAGCGACATTGTTTTGGTCAATTGCCGTCTCCGTTTGAAATCATGCGTTTCAAAGTAAACCCTTCATAGATGGTTAGGCTATTGGGCCAACAAATGAAAGTTATACTGTACCTCTGTCCATTTAACGTTAGTACAGGCTGACAGGTCACAACCAATACTTTCAGAAAAAGCTGGACAAAGTAATATAAAATGCATTTCACCTCAAACATCAAACTTGATTCAGATTATACCCCTGGACCTTTTGGAACGATAATAAAACGTCCAAATTATATGTAAAGAGAAGTCACATGCCTGCATGCGATATTTACTCAATAACAATTTGATACTAGACTTAAGCGGTTTGTTGAATATAAAAAATATAGTCTAAAGTTATTAACAAGATGCTTCAATAAAGGGTAATTGATAATAACAGGAACAACGTTATACTAAAAACATCATATTTCTCTTGATGATATACCTCACAATCTTAATAATGAAATATACAAAAATGTATAATCGGTCGGTTCATTAAAAATATTGATCTTATTTATTATACAACTATTATCAATAAAGTTTCTCCAGCCTTTATTAACCCGCCCATATTGATGACCATGATGAAAGCGCGCATAAGGTCTTAAACGAGTATACAACTGGATGTTCTGGTGAAAGCCCACATGGTAATCCTTCACAATTCCATTAGGAGAATTCAGCCCCTGCAGTGTTGGTCAACTCGACGTTCAATTCGTGCATGTTCAATCCTACTCGATATAGTAGGCTAAAATTCATAAGATATGCACCATAGAATCCACAGTTTTAGAGACCAAAATATGTTGTAAATATTGTCACGGAGTTGTAATATGGCACATACTGTAACAGACCAAAATAAATGGTGATCTACATTGTTAAATGTATTCTTAGAATAGCAGAACGCCCATTGTGATTGTTGATGATAAATCCCGAATCCGTCCTTTCTACACTGTAACGTGGATTTTCTACGATCCTGACGCATTTTCATCTACAATATTAGACAAGAAAACATTTGTCGAAGCACCATGTTTCTTCATTCTATTTTTGAAGATACATATTATAATTTTGCTACATCTATTTGATTTAAGAACACCGCAATACTAGATTACTTTCTATAGAAAAAGCAAATTATTGATTTAATTTATATTGGTGGACAATGATGTCGATTTAGATTCCATTCTCTATAATTATGAATTCGGAAATATGATTTAATCGGGCATGAGAGAAAATAGTTAATACAAAATATTTGTTTCATACTAAAAGCCCTCCAGCACCTTCAATTTTTTGCCTAAGCAATAACACATCAATTCATATTTAACCACATAGTAATACATAAAGACATTGTAGCGTCAGCTTACTTTCTCCGTCTCTGTATTTCCATTCGCAGTTTTATCGAATTCATCGAGCACTCCTTACATGCCTCGTAAACCTTTGCCAAAGTTGCAACTTTCTCAGCATCTTGCACCCATTGTCTCATCAGTTCCAGGAATCTTAGAATGAAAACACATTTCAATTAGCCTTCTCCACCTCCCAATTTAATTAGCCACAATGGTTTCCATAATTACCCATTTTTATCCCATATAATGTATTAAAGGCGTCCCGTGCTACTGCCAGAACGTGTTAGATGAACGTTAGGTATACACATGTGAATGCGCTTATAAAACTTAGTAATAGATACAAAATACCAAAGATGAGTTTCACTACCATACAAGTGCGTAAAACCCCTTAGTTATATGTTTTTTTTAAACTTTGAGAAGTTCTAGTTAATTTTGAAGGGTCGATAAATGAAATGTGTTTATATTATGAACCGAGTCACCACTCAAAGGGTAGTTGTGTCAATCAAGGTTAAAGCAAACCAAATCATCCACCAGCAAATATATGTAACAATGAATTGAAAACCTTTTACCTGTAAGAAAACGGTTAAATTAATAAATTCTGTAAATAAACCTTTACCTGCAGAACATGCGAAAAAAAAGAAAGATGAAACAAACGAAAAGGACTTTACACTGAGAATAAAAAATCTAACGGGTTCAGACTGGGCTTTGAACCCTAGACTCCTGAACACTTCGATCAATCTAACCAACTGAACTACCTGATCAACGGTAAATCCCGGCCTACAGTTACTTTGAAAAGAAATTAAGAGGGGTTACTGTTGTTTTTTATCTTTATAAAGGCATCAATTTTCTTAGGATCCATTTTTAATGATCGGGAAATCGGAAAGCACATAGTCTATATCAGTTTGAGGTATAGTTTTGAATTTAATTTACAGACGGACGGACAAGTTACAGGCTGTTATATGATTCTGTATTACTCTCTTCCAGAATCTTATTTATTAACTTACGGATAAAACTTCTTTATGTCAGTAAAATGTGATTTTAAAAGAAGAAAAGGTCTATTGCAGACGCAAATGTGATCAGAGTTTGACATGAAAAAGAACCCGTTTTGTCGATTTAAATGACTTATTTTGTTTTTAATTCATAATTCAAGACTTGTACACACCTGTCTCTCTGTTTCAACAATAGATTAAACAATTAAGATGTATTGTGTTTGGTTCAAAAAAGAGGGAGGGACTTTGTTGATGTTTAAGTTTACCTGTCAATACACCTCTCGTGGTCCATCCTAGCCCGATCTATTGTCTCGATGTCCAAGTCAAGCTCCAGGAAAAATATCACATATGATAGATTTATCTTCTTTGCAATGATAAGTCTCTCTGATTCCGTTGGGCATCTGTCATCCTCTGTGAAATAAGCAAACATTGAGTGTAAATAACAAGTGTCATCAATGCAGTTTAGAATTATTTAAAATAAAAAAAACGACATCCCCATATTAAATTTTTTGATATATTGAAAACTGTTAGGATATATATTATGACATCCTGTAATTATATATTTTTCCCATTGTATCTGTACGTATGGTCATTTTATCCCAGTAGAATTTTTAATGGATTAATTGTAATAAAAAATGTCAATTGCATTATTGTGTATCCATAGTCTACTGTTATTGTTTCTAGTCATACTGACATTTATACGGGTTAGGAACTTAACTTGTCTGGAAAATGGAATACAGGGTAAAATCCATAAAAATACACCTGGTATATTTTTTTGATATATGATAGGTGATAAAAGCTATATAACAGAAGATAAAACAAACGTGGAAGCTGAGTGAAAAAGTTTACTCGTGATGCCAATCTCAACTTTATTCGTTACATCGATAGCGTACTCTTTACATATATAATTACCAGCAGCTATTTGTATATTTCATGGTTAACTAGGGTGAATAAAAATGGAAGTATTTTCATACACTTTGTCATATTCAAAGAATTGTAATTTTGCGTTTTTGTTGACTTTACATCCTTAAACTTTATGAATATTGAGAAAGGTTACATGTTTTGTTTTCGGTAGTAATTATTTTAATTTTAGTGAACGCGTCAAATGTCTGTAATAGAATGATAGATATCAAGTTAAATAAAATCAAGATTATAATACCAGTGGCAGCGCAAACCAACGTAACATTTATTCAAGGAGCAATGGCGCGAATTTCATAAAAGCATATGAGTTATCTTACAAGCGGTTAACATTCAAAATTGTTTTCCTTTGTGCACGTGTAAAGCAAATTTCTCTAATTAAAACTTTGTGTTGATGATTGACCATAAATAACCGATATATAGCGCTTAATATCCTAAAGACATGCTGCGTAAGGTTTTCCGATGCATTATGAAATATAAAATTCAAACATACAATGTTAAAGATGGGTATATATATGCTTTATATATTTTCATAGATATTTCAGGTATTCATTCAAATATTTATATATAAAGGGTTCTTTAGAAACTCTTAACGTTTTCATATGTTTGTGTGACAAAACAGTTTATACCTGCGCTTGTTGACCGATGCGTGCCAGCTGTTCCCATTTCATGTAGATGCTCCATGATGTCGTCTGTATTGAAGCCTTGTGATTTCATAGCCTTTAAGAGGAGCCTTTTGTCTGCCTTTTTACCTAATTTGTTGCTCCACTTCACAAGAAGATACGTTACCAAGGTTCTCAGACACTCTCTGAACGACCAATATATTTGGTCAATCTCACTTGGGAGCATTCCCAGCTCGACGAACAGCAATGCATAGTTGAGACCAATAAACTTGGCAACATGGCTCATCTGTTTGGTAGTGAGGCATGTGTCTAAGATGTCTCCGGAAAAATCTGTACCGACAGATGATTCAGAACAATTATTTCACTGATATCAAAACACATGTAGTAAGAAAAGCTCTTAATTGAAATTGCTAACAAAATTTTATTTAGAGTGTATGTATTTGAATTGAAGAAATGAACTGGATTTTTTTCTCCAATTGGTTTTGTTCCGATTTGAAATGTGTGTACAAATGCAATTCACTTTAAAATACTTACATACTGGATGTTGAGTCTGGAAGTAAATCAAATAAATTGTCATAAAGAGAAGAAAAAAAATATAAAAGTATTACGAGTATGATGATCATTTTATAATAATTGACCAAACATACAATTGCTTTTATTATTAGTGAATTATTGTATACTTATACAATACGAGGATATGCAATATTTACCTCATATTTAAAATATTTAAGTGAAAAGGTTATGAGACCAACACTTTATTAAAGAAAAATGACAAAGGAAGAAATCTGACAATGGAATCTAAATACAAGGATGAAACAGACCTGGTTTTGTTCAGGACACCACACTACGACTTCTGCATCAACAGGTGAAGATATTCGGGCAGGAAGTTTTACCAATACCGTTTCCTCGTTCCTTGTGACCTCGAAGTCTGCGCTGATGAAGTACTGAAACTTCATATGCCCTTGTTTGTTCCTTTCAAGCGTTTCCTTAATGATGGCCTCCATGATGCATCGGACACTGTACCCGTCTCCTGCCTTTATTTCTGTGGTTGTGTTGGAGAAAAGAGTGATTTTCATTCTTGAATCCTTACAGTGAAGAATCATCTTCCAACGCGGACTGAGGACGAAGCATGCCAGTCCTTGTTGTAAATACATCTCTTGTTCACCGTCGTCCTTTGCAAAGAGTGCAAATTTATGAATACACGACGCCAGAATCTTGTTGTAAACAGCCGGAGGGATAAACCGCTCCAGGAAGTCGAAGCAAAGCGTTGCACTTTTTACCGCCCCCACATCCAGCAACATTCTTCTGATATGACTTGGATCGGCTTCGTCCAATAGGTAGGGCACGAGGAAGTAGTCAACATTTGTCTCCCCTTCCTTCGGTAGGGGCTTAACGATGAGTTCCAAACGCTCCAGGTAAAACAGGAGTGTGTCCATAAAGAGATGAAACTCGCTTCCAGGTTTCCAAATGGCACGGATGAAATCCATAGTCAGTCTTGGCTTCCCATATTCCTGTAGAAGTGAGGGGTCGACATTTGGTTTTTCTTCGTGGAATTTGATGTCGGTTACAATAAGTCGAAATGCTTCGACGACGAATTTGATGTCCAAAACGACCTTGTCATCTGGATGGTCCAGTTGGAAACAAAGAATGCTTCTTGTTCCATGAAGGTAACTTGAATGTAATACAGTCACAAAAATAATTATCATCGTGATAACGTTATGATATATATTATAAAGTTTCAAATTGTTACACAAAACAAGAAATATGAAGCAAATTAATCTTAATGCAAACATATCAAGAAAGCATAAGATAAGAATATGAAATTTAGTATTTTATTCTTAAGGTAAAGGGAACCACTGCGTCCATTGTAATCGCGAGAAAGAGTTCAACTGGGTTTTCCTTTCAGTATTCTCCCTTCTCCCTTAAAAAGATGAAGCAACCAAAAGCAGTTTTTCCTGGCTTTGAGTAACTTTCCCTGTTACTTTTTTCATATGTTTGCGACCAATAAATTTGATATGTTTTTGGACGTTTTGCTTTCCTTTAAAACACCAACAGTAAAATGTTTGCTTTGCAATGTTAACGACCCGAGCCCGATCCCTGCAGTTTGCGATTCTCAATATTCTAATTTTTGTTTCCAAATGTTCCATTTCGAACAACTTCAATAATGGGAAATGCAGCGCAAAATGCACAATGTTATAGAATATTTATTTTGAAAAGGATTTTAAAATATTCACAATAGTGCCAATGGTTATGGTATAGTTTAACTTGTTCGTACCCTTTACCTTAAAACCGACTTTCATTAACATACCGTAGCATGGCAATGACATCGTCATCTTCAAGTGGGACCGATAGCTGTTTAGCTTTGTCCTTGATCTCCTCCAAGGTCATCACCTTTTTGCCTTGACCTTTCAGGATCATCAGTTCACGTTCCAGAAGTAACCATTTAGCAGGAAGAAGATGATTCCATTGTGACTGGTACTCTGCTGCTGCAAATATTTGCTTCCATATGACGCAATGCTGATGATTGTTTTTAATTGGCTTGCGATTGTCGAATGGAGTTTCAGGAATTTTTCGAATGGCGTCGTTGATCTCATCTTCACCATTAGCCACGACCTCAAAAGCAAGGACATGTCTATTAAACGCTGTAGCATGTTTTGTTTCCTTTAGTAGATGAGCTTTGACTCTGTCTTTGATGTCTCTTTGCTTATTCTGTCAATAAAAATAATATATATGATCACAAAAACTGCCCGTTATATAATACACAATAAAGTATTGGTACAGCAGTGTACAAATCAAACGGTTGTAGCTTGAGCTGAAGTCAAACCTCGATTGAGAGACGGAAATGGCCATAGACAATGAAAATGACAGAGAGGGAATGAGAAAGGAGCCGGACATAGAACCAGAGACAAACAAACAGAGACTTCCATTGATAGACACTGGTTACTGAGACAGCATATAGTTAATATATATCAGTCATATAGAGGCCTATCTAATTTGCAAAATTACTTTAACGCGCAAGATCATATATAATATTTAAAGGGATAATAAATCTGAAGTACAAAATTTGTCTACAGTCGTCTATCTTAAAATTTACAAAGGTGACATCTTATTTAAATAACGTCTCATCTAAAGAGAAAAACGTGTAGACGAAAACAGGTGAGTTTAGACACAGATCTTACAGTTAATTTGAGCAAGCTGTGGGTTTCTTTTCAGAAATGAATTATCAAAGCAATTGTCTTGCAAATTGAAGGTTTGAAGACCAAATTTTTTAAGGATCAAGGCAACACTGCCAAAATGCAGTGTTACTTTGGTCCTTAAAATTAGCTTTAACTTCAGGCCTACCTCTGGAACCTTGTCCAAGTGTGTTCCAACCAGTATAACAGGAGGACAATACTCTATGTCTTCGTCAGCAAATGTTGAGAGGAAGTTCAACCAAAAGTATATCCGATCTGCAAAAAAAATGAATATCGCACAAAAAGGTCATGAGTGGTTCTTGTGACATGTTAATCAAATATAAATCGACGAGCTAATAATGGGCGTTGTTCTTTTTCTACTCATGATGGTATATATTTATTGTATTCATGACAAAAATAAATAAGAAGTAACAAACCAAGTATTTTCTCCTCCTCAAATACGTTGTGTAAGCTGAAACACAACAGAATAACGTTGTTGGTGTTCAGAAAAATATGCTGAAAGTTGCTAAACATAATCTCTCCACCAAAATCAAATATGCTGACATATGCTTTAGATTTTGCTGATCCTAAAGGAGTGATGGTGGTTGCTGACATGGCAGCTCCAGCTTCAGACTTTAATACCGTGTCAGGTTCTTTTTGTAGTGTTCCTTCGGACGCTGGTTTCGTTGTTAATTTCTCGTCCACCCTTTCCTTTATATGACCTGCAATTAAATAATATATATATATATATTGCCAAATAAATGTACAGGCAGGTGTGTTATCACCAACTGGCGATTCACTTCTATAAAATATCATTAGCAAATAATGTTTAAACGACAGGCATAGCAAACTTTTTTAATCGTTACTATGTTAATATTGTGTCGCATGACATTATTTAACCCGTCTTATTCAGACGGCATTAATATCAGCTATAAATGCCAAATTAAATCAGTGCAGTGCTTATATATGTAATGTTCACGTAAAGGCATGCATTTCAAAGCCAAAGACAA